AAACGTTGGAAGCGTTTTGGATAAACGCCAAAAATCCAAAAATGAATAGAAAGGAGGAGTGTATCGCTATCACTAAAGAACTGGCGCCATATCAATCCCTATGCGGATTTGAATATGAGGTCAGGTCACAACGGCATATATAAGTAGAGCTGAGGCATAGTCTTGCATACACGGCAGTCTCTCGACTTCCGTTTTGCTTCTGGCTAAGGTTAGTATTGCTCTTGTTGCTCTGACTGAGTTTTCTTTGGCTTTTTCTCGAATAGTACTCTGTGTCCTTTGTTGACGTCTGAGGGAATAGATTCTGATGAGTTCGACTTCCAGGCTCTGACGAAGGCGACAGCGCCGAAACGTAGGCCATTGTACAATAATAAACTGTGTACCATCTTGGTCAACCGCTCAAACCACACCTCTCAAGTATCCAATCACCGTTGCAGAGAGTCGGCCTCAGCCTCTCCGGAACGGGAATTGTCGGGGTTTCCGCGGATTCTGGACTTCAGATTCGGAATGAGGGACACGAGAAGGCCCTGGAACGACAAAAACCTGGAAGTCGAGAATCTGGGTGGACGGTGCCTCTAATCGCTTTGGCGCTATAAATTCTGCAGCAATTACAAGGTCATAATATGGTGCAAAATGACAACCATTGAGTGCAGTTGCCAAGAACTTTGTGTCTTCATACTGCATCAGTATCCGCCGGAAGCTGTCTGAAGCCGCCGCTAGCAGCCGTGCCAGCATTAGCCGCCGCTAGCCGCTATGGCGCTATTCCACATTAGTTCACCCAAAAAAATCGAAATTTGGGATTCTTAGAATTTCTTCGAGTGACTACTGAACCGCAGCCCCTTCATACCGCCGGCAGCCGCTGTCAGCCGTCGTCAGTCGTCGCTTGCCGCTCTTGTTATCATGAGAACGCAACTATAGTTATCAGATCTTGACTATGACATGCGTTCAGTTACGCCTTTCATCTTGTATACTTTTTCCTGGTTCTCACTAAAATGCAGTTTTAGCTCTCAAACATCACTTTTGCATGCGCTACCGTCAATTTGGTTGCAGTTGAAGCTTTAGCACTATAGTTGGCCTATTTCTCCATTGCGATCTTTGTGGACGGTCTGAAAAGACAGAGATTGATTCGCTCTTCCAGTCTGGGTGGGTTTGAAGTTTATAGTTGTGCTTCGCCTTTTTTATCATTGACGTCTTTTGCAGTGCATCTTTTCCTTGCAAATGTTATATACAGTGACCGCCAAAAAGTTGCGGACAAGTCGCCCTCTTTTTTCAGCGTTCATTTTCGGATGGAAAACCAGGATGAAAAAATGATTGGATTGCATGAGGTGATACAGCTCTTCAAGAGCTACAATCCCAAACATTGCGCTTTCTGGAAAACACGTATTCTAAAAATTTTAGAAGTCTTTTCCTAGAAAAAATCCAAAAATGGCCGCGTCACAATTTCGCGGACAATAATCCTTCGAATGCGACAATTTCCTTTTAGGTTTTTTTTTAGAGAAACAGAAGTTTTCCGAACAGGTAAGCACACTATATCGTAGAGCTCATCGAGGACAACAATCAGTTAGGGGTTACTTCCAAAAAACGCAAGTTTGAATTTGGTTTTGTTTCAAAAATTTCTATTTTTCTCTTTCAAAGCAAATTTCTTCACATCGAAACCTATTCAAGACTTCCCAGCAAAGCCGTTCGGATAAAGTAGATGCTCTCTACCATGCTCCATGCATCGGACGTGTGCTGGTAAGTTTCTTGGCTGAAAATGACTCCTGATAATGCGTGCACATGACCCTACCTGCGCCTCACTACTGACTTATACTGCTTTGCAGGCTTGTAGCTCAGCCGTCAGGCAATCTACAAACCTGTACTTGGGCTCATTTGAAAGGGCGTGACTTCCTCGACACGATATATGCAAATAATTTCCGTTTGAGCAACCCCATAGATTTGGAGGATGGGGTGGAAGAGGGCAGCTTCAGTTGTAGGCTAAGCATTTTTCAGCTAAAGTTGAAGAGAGCTTCTTTCGCTACCAATTTCATCCTGGAAGTTTAAAACTGTCAATTTTTTTTGTAATAGATCCATTTCGAAGCTCTAAGACTGTTCTGGTGTTCATAAGTGCCTTCACTCCAACCACCTCTAAGGCTGCCCTCTTCCACCCCATCCGCCAAATCTCTGGGATTGCTCAAACGGAAATTATTTGCATACCATCGTGTCGAGAAAGTCACGCCCTTTTGAATGAGCCCAAGTGCAGGCTCCTAGATTGCCTGACGGCTGAGCTACAAGCCTGCAAAGCAGGACAAGTCAGTAGTGAGGCGCAGGTAGGGTCATGTGCACGCATTGTCAGGAGTCATTTTCAGCCAAGAAGCTCATCAGCACACGTCTGGTGCATGGAGAATGGTAAAGAGCATCTACTTTATCCAAACAGCTTTGTTGGGATACCTTGAATAGGTTTTTATGTGAAGGAATTTGCTTTGAAAGTGAAAAATAAAAGTTAATAGCTTTTTTTTTGAAAATGCAAAACAAAATTCATACTTGCGTTTTTTTCTGGAAGTAACCACTATCTGATTGTTGTCCTCGATGAGCCTCTACGATATAGTATGCTTACCTGTTCGGAAAACTTCTGTTTTGCTCCAAACAAAGACCTAAAAGGAAATTTTCGCGTTCGAAAATTATTGTCCGCGAAATTGTGACGCGGCCGTTTTTGGACTTTTTCTAAAAAAAGATTTTTAAAATTTTTAGAAAACATGTTTTACAGAAAGCGCAACGTTTGGGTTGTAGCTTTTGAAGAGCTCTATCATCTCATGCAATCCAATCATTTTTTATCCTAGTTTTCCATGCGAAAATGAACGCTGAAAATGGAGAGCAACTCGTCCGCAACTTTTTGGCGGTCACTGTATACGCATTGGCATGGGGGGGGGGAAGGGGTAGAAAAATGTGGTCTGTATATAACATTATAATTACTCAAATTATAATTTTTAGAAGATGTTCTATCTGCTACCAATTGTTTTATAGGGCGAACTTTCTCTCCAGGTTTGACTCTGCTTCCTGTCGATGACGACAATAGAATAGCAGCATTTACTACCCACTCTGAGTCATGCTCATGCTCTTCATCCACCTCATTCTATTCAGCCAGTGCGATTGGCACGGTACTTGAACTTGCGCAAAAACGACGGAAAATGGCTCTAACACAGGAGGAAAATTAAATGTGGGCGGTCTTTTCCACAGTGAATTCACGCTCTCCCTGCTTGAGCGATCTTATCGGTTCCGAATCCAATTCAGGCATTCGCACTTGGCCGGTGGAGATTTCAGAGCGGCTAGCGAAATTGAGAAATTCGCTCCGCAAGCTTGAAGCGTGAATTCACCGTGCGGAAGACCTCGCCCACCTGCGTTTTCTTTCCTGCACTAGAGTCCTTTTTTGCCGTTTTCGCACTCTCCAATGTGGATTCTTGAATTCAGCATAGCGAAAGGGCCCGGGTAAGCGGTAAGCACAATCTCAAAGTCGATTTTTTGCCCGAACACGGCCTTCAAGTTGGGATAGTTCCCTTGTCAAAAGTGAATTGAAGTATGGGATAAAACAGACGGAAACAATAGACGCTAAAGTTGATTACGTAACTGTCTGCAAGAATGCGCGATGGTCAATGAAGGACAGTCTTTACCGACATCACTATTCCGCCTTAAAACGAGCCATCAAAGGCAGTCGTATAAAACGCGGGCGTCTCGAGCTCCCCAACTTGCAAACATCATCAACCGAATGTTCGAAAGCAACCACATCCTGCCAACTTCGCCCATGCCTCTCTGATCCTCTTCCACAAAAGCGATGACCGCTACGGTATCAAGAACTGTCGACCGATCTCCCTCTTACCCGATTTACAAGGTTCTGACGAGATCACTGGCATGTAGTCGAGGTGCGCAAGTACCTAGCTGTTGAGCAAGCTGGGTTTCGGCAATATTTCTCAACTACTGGCCACTTACAAGCTATCAATCAACTCACTGAGAAAACGCATGAATATTGTCTCCCATCACATTCCTTTTTCTCGACTTTTAGAAGCGTTTGATATCATTGAGTCTAACTCAATTTGGAAAACTTTTGCCCACTATGGAATTGATACCGATACAATAACGACGATACACCTCCTGTATCCCACAGCTACGGCCTCGCTTCAATCTGATAAAACCAATGCTCCGTTCAAAGTACAGAAGTGAGTTCGCCAAGGAATATGCTTTGTCGCCGCTTATCTTCATCATGTGTCTTCAATTCGCAATTGATTCTGTCCACTGGGAAGATGGAGACGGCTATAATGTGGAAAACAACTTTACTACCTTGCATTTGCAGATGACATTTTGCTCATAGGTCGCGCCCAAGTCGATTACAGTCAATGGTCGTGAAAATTCTCGAAGCTTGTCAGCAAGTTGGACTTTAAATGAATGAAAACAAAACCAAATGGATGGGCGACGACAGAGATCGCTTTCGGAGGAGTTCAACAGTTGCACTGAACGGCAACATCACCGAACGCGTAGACTCCTTTATCTATAATATCTCGGTCAGCTGCTGCAGTGCTCACGCGATCAAGATAAAGAAATATCCAGACGTTTTGATGCGAAGATTTTTCACCAGCAGAAGCGTAGCTGTTCATCCAAAATGACACTACTTCAACAAAAACACCTTCCTACACTTCTGTATGGCTGTGAGACATTGTCAACCTCTAGAAAATACTAACTACTGCGATGCCAGAGAGCAATGGAAAGGCCGATGCTTGGATATCGACTAAAGGACCACAAATCTTCAACTTGGATTCCTTTTATAACGAAGCTGAAGGAGGTGATGTGGTAACAGCAGCACGGCAAAGGAAGTGGCGATTTTTGGAAAGATTTATATAATACAAGTTTTCCTCTGTCCTTCTATGTCACAAGATTATTAATTTGGAAACCAGCTTGTTTTTTTTTGAATGACTCCTCAAAAAATTCATTGATGAAACGAAAAACAGGATGACAGCATCAACAACGAGCAAAAATACTGCACAGATACAATACAACAAAAATCACACCAATGTGAAAGTAGGGTAGCGTCATGGATGAAAGATGTTCCGATAGTAAAGAGCATACATGTAAGTAGATAAAATTAAAGTACTACTAGTAAGTAAAAGTTTGCAAGGAATGACCATATTAGTGATAGATGCTGATCTATTGCCATGTCTTACTACACGTGAAATGAACGAAAGCTCTGGTCATGGCACACACTTACACACAACAAATTCCATTTCCAACAGCTCCGATGTAAAGCGTCAGGAGTGATTGCGCGCATACAATCAAAATCACCACTGTTACATAGGAAAGTCAGGACATCACCAACCTGCCGATAGTGATGTCACCAGTCGAAAACTGAGGACAGCATTTCGTTTCTGAAATGGAGAACCAGTCTACGACACAGTACTACATATTAGCATGCAATCATGCAGATCTAGAAGGGGAGAATATGTTGGTATGGGCCGTCCGCGCTTCGCGCGGAGAGCAAGGCTGTTGCGTACATTGAAGGCAGTTCACGACTGGAAGAAGCGCAGAGAAAAACAGACGGCAGAGTGTACGAGGAAAGACGAGTGACAAGAAATACACTCCTTGCGCACTCTCCGCGCCCTGCGCGGACGGCCCATAATTCATTCGTTTGGTATTAACTCGACCCTACATTATCATGAGGCTCTATTCTACATAGTTATGAGACAAATGTGCAATTTCGGAGTTTTGCTGGGCAAAGTATTAGAAATGAGGCATGCCGTTTTATGCGCATGACAATCTGCACTTTATGCTTGGTATTTTGATTACCTGAAAGGGATTTGGACATTGCGAGCCGCTATAATATACACGTAGTAACAATTTACGCCAACTCATCTTGTTCGTTGAAGAAAAAAGAGCAAAATAACAATTAATTTTGGAGAAGCAAATGTCACAGCGTACGGACTCGCACTTAATGGGAATGATTTTCCAGCATATTTACATCATTGAAAACAACGCTATGTCGAGCCAGCCATTGTTTGTGTTGAATTTCGAAAACTTGCCTGTGCACTGCCAAATAAATTAGGTTTATTATCATTTCCACAATTATGCAGGCAGGTAATTTCAAAATCTCAAATACTGATAACAAGCAAAAACAATTTAGCGTCATCAAAATCGTATTATGACTAGATATGAGTAACGCGTTGAGATTATTACCTCTTCAAATGTACAAGCAAGATGTTAGGCTTTGGAGTTGTAAATAACACATAAGGATAAACATTTAAATGTATATAACAAGAACTGAAAACCCTACTGTTTGCCTCCGGTATTTGATGATTGGAAAACGGACGACGAAGCCATGAGATTCTGTATGTATTGGCCCAGAACTTGATTTTCAGAACGCAATTTGAGGCTTTCCTCCTTGACAGAATCCACGCGCTGGCTCAGATCTGGAAGAAAACACGTATTGGAATCCTATTTGGAATAAACTTCTTGTTGTAATAATTTCACAGCCACATTAATTTTTCAAAAAATCGCTCGAGCATCGAGCAATTTCTAAAAATTGCTGGCTTTGCCTGGCTATCACCATACTTAAAGGAACGTACCGTCTAGAGTGTTCTGCAGCTCAAGCACTTGAGAGATGAGTCGTGCTTTTTCTTCTGGATCTTCAAGAGGTTCTTCCCTCGGCAAAGGCTGCGCAGGCCTTGGTGTTCCTCCTCCTATTATCGACGACACGCTGTCATCTAAAGCTTGTTGGTTAGATTGTTCGCGATTAAACTCTTGAGCAACTTGAAAACTTTTTCGTCATCTAGACAACTCAATGATAGCACGATGCAAACGGTTCCTCTGTCTGTACGTGCAGTCACGCACAGACATGGCGCCGTTGCAGCGCTGTCTGCGTCTCTCTGATCGCGCACTTTAGTTCCACATTCATTCCCTTGTCGTCTGCTGTCTCCTTCAAGCACAAACTATTTCGTTTGTACGCAACTACACCCATCTCTAACGTGCGATGTATATAGCTCAAGTTTCAACACGCCTTCGCCACATATTGTTTTCTTTTTCGGTGGGTTCGCGTAGATATAGTTGACTGCATGGAATCAACCGGGCTGAATGCGAGGGACCGTAGATTCGCCCGCAGGAACGATTACTTTTGGATCGGAGCAGGAATTGTGTTTAGAGCGCTCAATCGTCTCTCGTTCTGCTACGTGCAGTTATGAATTTGACGGAACTCCTTTTTCCAGTACCAGTTTAGTCTATGTTAGCTCTTTACACTGTGTTCTTGTGTGACCACGAGGTTTAGGTTCATCTTGTAGGTCTGAAGTTCTAGAGTTTCTCAAGTGAGTTGTTATAATCTTTATTGTCAAGTTTACTAGAGGTGGAAAGAGCAACTGGCCAGAGGTCACTGTCAAAAGTAGTCTACAGCAAACTCAGCCCCGGTCAACATTTTGACCCAGTTGCATCTTGATGGTCCCGTCTCATTCGGTTTTCATATATGGGCCGTCCGCGCTGCGCGCGGAGAGCAACGCTGTTGCGTCCGTCGAAGATAGAAGAAGCCCAGAGAAAAACAGGCGGCGAGAGTGCACGGGGAAAGAGGAGTGACGCGCAATACACACCTTGCGCACTCTCCGCGCCCTGCGCGGACGGCCTATAACAAGGCGGTGACGAGGTTGCATCGAGGTTTTTGCGCTCGGATGTTCTACACAAACAAAGCCATCGAAATGTTTGCCACTTTACGGCTAACACTTATTCTGCAGACGCTCTTGCCGCGTCTGTCATTTTAGCGGACTTCTTCAAATGTCATGCTTGGCAACAGAAATCTATCCGAGAATATTTGAATTGGCAACAAATTTGTGCAAGTTGTGTGCATTATCAACTCTCTGCCAGATCAACGTGGAACAAAGATTGATTTCATGAGGGCATCGCATTTCAACGCATAAACACTAAAGCATGAGGAATAAAAAATACATCGCAGCGCTTTATTGCTCCGAAAAGGAGGACATTTCACAGTCAAGCTCTGCCATGATTTGCTTTGTAGTATTTCAGATTTACTTGAATCATTCAGGCCTGTTGTAGAATCAACTTTTCTCCTTCTGGTGTAAGGCACATTTGATACAACAAACTTGCATTATGGCCCCAATCCTCATATTTCAAGTCACCCAATAATTTACAATGCAGATTTTCAGATTTGAGAAGAGCACTGATTCAGGAAACAATTTTGTGCCAAGTACCAAAAATTAGGTCTGAATGAGTCTATTGACGTTTTATCATGTTCTTGTGAATCTGAAACACTGCAAGGGCTGACATGAAAACTGGAGTCATGGTTCAAGTTTGTTGAAGGTGACATTTGCAATTTTTATTGCAAACGGTTTCGGTTAATGGTGCGTACATTTTCGACAAACTAAGTCGTAAAACCTAAGCATCTGCATTTCAAATTCTTTTGCAAAATTATATTCTTGGCGAGCTTTGAAAAATGAAGTTCAGTGGTTTTTTCCCCGCTTACATTTCTGTGACCGTACCGTAGTAGAAACTCGCCGAGATTACCATAAGTCTGACTTTTTCTCAAGTATATTTGTATGTATATTTGTATAAGGCAAATTCGCCTGAATGATGCAAAAAGTAAAAATTTTTCAGTGAAAAGGAGAAAGCTCTGTGCATCTGATACTTGAATTAGCCTTTCAGGTCCAAGCAGCATGATGTATGGTGATAAAAATCTACAGCGCATCCCAAATACGGTGCACACTGTATGATCGTTAATAACTTTCTTGCCTTCATGTCTTCTTAAAGAGGGCTGTACAAATTTTACGGAGCTGAAAGACTTTGACAAAAGCACAAAAGAACAAATCTTGCCAGCTCTCGAGAAGTCACAGCAGGAAGACGACGATCAACCGCTGATCAGGGCGCAACATTCACAATCAGAGACAAACTACGATGTTAAGAAGCTGGTACAATCGTAGTTTCCTAGTGCCACCTTTTTTGCAAGAATTTCGCTTATAGGTAGACTCCCCAATAGTCAAGGCATTCAATGAAGTCAAAAGGAGACGGTTGTCCAGATCGAAAAAGTGATATCTACTAAAGAAAAAAGGAAAAAGCAAATCAAACTTTTATGTGCAAATTCAAACCGCATTAGTAAGGAATTTTGTACTTGATGCTGATAGTAATGGAGACCTAAAGCTTGAGTAACTCATCTTATGCTGTAACTCTGCGCGGTTTCCCAAAATCAGTTTCCGCTGGCGATACCCATTTGTCCAGATTTGCCTGGACGCCGGAAGAAAGTGTCGGCAAGCTTGATACGGAGATTAGAGTTGCAGTAGTAGAGTTGCAAGACGCAACATTGAGTTATTTGGTAAGCGCATCTTCAAAATCAGCGTTGGAAGGATAAGGTGCTCTACGGAGGATTCGTGCTCCAATCCAAAAGTAATCGTTCCTGCGGACGAATCTACGGTCCCTCGCTGAATGCGAGCGTGTCTCTTGCGGGCTAACATTGGCATTCGCGCGCACGAGTCAATATAAGATAGGCGCCAGACTAAGCGATGGTTTTGTTCAGCTGCAGAAGGCGCGCAGAAGTAACAGATTAGAACGCGCAGATGTAACGTTAAATCTGCGCACGATTGCCTGCTTCAGCTGCAGACCGCGCAAAAAATGTTGATTCTGCGCGCCTTCTGCAGCTGAACAAAACCATCGCCTAGTCTGGCGCCTACCTAACGCCCGTACTCGGCAGCCGTGTTGCAGGCACGCTCGCGTGCGTTCAGTCTACAGCGTCCCGGCGATTTCGTGCAGTCGACTAGAAAGCATCTCAACCCTTTTTTTTTTGTTTTGTTGACATAGAAACGCATATCGTCGATTCGTTAACCGCACGGACTGCTCAAACGCTGCGGACACGCGCGGCGCGGCTGAATTGTTGCGAGAATGACTTGTACAATGGCGAACTTGTGCTGGGGCAAGCGTTTTGCCGCGCCGCGCATGGTCCGCAGCGTTTGAGCAGTCCGTGGGTTAGCGAATCGACGATATGTGTTTCTATGTCAGCAAAACAAAAAACGCGTTGAGAATTTACAGCAAACTCAAAAATTGCTCAGTGGCTTTCCGCTGACATCCGCAAGTGCGATTTTTCGTCAAAGACAACATTGATTTGATTGGAAAGTAAAATCTCTCAATCAACGTATTCCTTCAAAAACTTATTGACATGAAGAAAGGTTTCCGGCGAAAAGTGAAAGTGTTGAATAAAAGCTCAAATAGTGAAAGAAAATCTGTATTCGTTTCATTTTCTTGGTTTGTATAATGATTTTTTACCATTAGGCTGTCGTCCCCGATAACATAGCTGGAAAACACAATCATTATTAACAGCATTGAGTTGACCAATTTTTTCTGTAAGGGATATTTTGTCTCCCTGAATTGAAGGATCACAGATTCAAGTACTAAAAGATAACGGAAATTGCACTCACCATCATCTGCAAGAGGAATATCCTCGTTATTGCTGGACGGGTCCGGCATCTGCTGTAGAACGGGGGGAGCGCAGATACAGCCGGGTGGACGAAACGTTGGCCGACACCAAAATCGATATGATTCTCAGCCAACGCAGCGAATTGTATTGGTGTGCTGGCGACGGGGGAGGGGCGCAATCTGTTTTGTAGTCGTTGCCTGTGTTTTCTTTTCTCTTTATATCTTGGACTTTTCTAGAAATGATCACCGATGTGCAACTGGGAATCTGCGCCAACATTCTCGGCATTGGCATTTTCATGCTGGTCGTTTTCTACCATTACATTGTAGCGAACCAAAGATCGAACTGAGTTAGATTAAGTCCTGGTGAGTTTGAGCACATTTTTTCTCATTTCTGCAACTTCATTTCCTCACAACTATACGTTGACCGGAGTGGAGGAAGATTTTTGCAAAAGTGAATCTAAAAATAGATTCGAATCTGCACATAACTGTCACTTCTCGTTAATGACTTTCACTAAAGAAGAAATGCTTATGTTTTATGTAAATACTGAGTTCACAAAAAGCGATTCCACTATCAAAAAGTACTAGTTGAACGGAAAAACCACTTAGCTGAGAGTTCTCTTTTGAAAAATTCTTGCTGAAGATTTTAGAAGAAATCATCATGGTTTTAAAATTCAGTTTCACTAAGCGCAAGTTGTGAGTCTACATAGCTCGTTCTCCTCATTTTTGAAGAAATCGTAATTTATTGAGTAGCAAAGCACCACCCACTTCCATTTTTGATCTGCAGCCATTGCAATGCTGCTCGGATAATTCCGAGACCCATTTTCTATTCTCTTCATAGCCGAATCCGTCGTCTAATGCTCCAATTATGAAATTCGTGACTCATGTACTGAGGATATAATCAGCTACCTTGTTATTTTGACGTAATCTTGAGCATGTCTCATTGTTGTACATTTAAACAATCAATATAATATATATTCGCTTTATAGGTCATGCTGCGTGCCTTCGGTTTCTCACAATGTTTTCGTCTTCAATGCAATTAGAAAAGTGATAGTTGCCCATGGGTCTTCTTTGTTTTTTGTTTATTTATTTTGATTCTGGTCGATAAACTGGTTGATACGGGTGTTTTGCTTTTTGAATCTATTCGTTTTAATCGATTACTTCTAGATGCATCATGATTTTAGATTTATGTTATTGATGGGATTTTTAAAGATGCTTTTAGTCTGTTTCATGACATTTTCTTGTGATAACAGATTTGCACACAATCAACCCATTCCGTATTGATGCAAAGTAATCTACGACATTCCGGTTAGTTGATTGTAAGGTTCTGCAGTTTTATCATTGTTACTCTGCAGAAATTCAATCGAACATTGATTACCTTTTTGTAGAGGCATTTGTTGCTTGAGGTTGTTCATTAAATAAGCGCTCTAGGTCCATATCAACCGGGAACCTCTGGAGCTCAGTCACCTGGGATTGAAAAACAGTTCCGGTTTGGAGCAACAACTGCACGAAGTGGTTATTCAACACCCGGTGGCTACTCAACGTACGGTATATCGTAAGTTTTATGTAAAATCATTATTCTTGATTGTACTACGACCGTTGTTTTGGTCAGATCACAGAATTTATTGTACACGCAATTTATTAGGGCTGATCGAGTCGGTTGCTTCACAGCGGTTAGAATGTCTGCATGGGCGAAACTTACCCGTTTCGCCAGGCGATTCCTTCACTTCAAACAGGTAAGTTTTCCACTGGCTGAATTATTATTATTTTTTGTTCATAGTTCTCATCCAATTTCAGATGGATTTTGAATTTGCTTCTTGGCAAATGCTTTACTTATTGATCCAACCACAGAAAGTGTACAGGAACTTCCTCTATCGAAAGCGTGAGTTTCTCTATTTCACTTGCTTGATAACATTTTATCGTTTTTTTTTCAATTTCATCACCTTAGTTGCTATGCTAGTGCTTACAAGGAACCTCATTCGCATTAATCACTTTATTTTTTATCACATCAGTTTTTACCTTATGTTTGTTTTTGATTGCTTGGACTTCTTAAAGCTTCTGGCTTACTTAAAGGCAGCGTCCAGGCAAGTCTGGACACACGGGGATCTCATGTGGATAGTACTTTTGGGGACCTAACTAAGCCACTGCTTAACCGGCAGCTCAGGTAGTGCTCTAACGGCTGAAAAATTTTTCTCGAAACTGGAACCCGCAATCGTATTTCGCATGGAATGGCGCAAAGCGTGGATCCTGGCGCGAAACTGCCATGAATCCATGCGAATACGATCGCGGGGTCCAGTTTCGAGGGGAATATCTCAGCCGTTAGAGCACTGCCTGCGCTGCCGCTTGGGCAATGCCTAGTTAGGGCCCCAAAAGTACTTTCCACGTAAAATCCCCATAGGTCCAGATCTGCCTGGACGCTGCCTTTAAAGGCACAGGTCAACGCTAGCGCGGTGGGATCTCAATGCAGTACTAGAGCGTGGTTCCTAACAAACTCAACAGTTCAAGTCTGACAGAGAAATATGGATTCTGAAGCGAGAAAATTGCTTCCAATCCCGCCTCCTTGCCAAGTTTTCACATGGCCAGTACAGTAGATTTGCAGTATTCGCCACGTCAAAACTTGTCAAGGAGGCGACCTTTGTCGATCGGACTTGAACTATTCAGATTGTCAGGAGACGTGCTCTCGTACTGCTTGAGATCCCGCCACACTTCAGTTGACCTGGACAATGCCTTTAACCTTAGCCCAGCTGTTTACTATGTAGTACAGGTGTTGATTATGATCACCGTATGGTATGCGTGTTGCATGTTAAGCATACCACATATACAATATAGGGTGAAAAATCGCTGACAAATTTCGATCACCTTTTCTCTCTTTTTTTGTTCGTTTAAAGAGGTAACTGAGGTTCCGAAAGTGTTTATGCCCTAAAGGCTGCTGCATGACGAGGGCGCAGAAGCAGTATAAGTTGAGCGGGCTCGAACGCTGCGCGCGGGTATCTTTACCATTGTGTACCCTGCGCCTCATGCGCTCTGCGGTAACGAAACCGCGTTCGCGACCAAAGATACGCCTTCGTCATGTAGCAGCCTATCTAAATCACCATGGATGGGAAGTGTCCTGATGAAGCTCGGCTGTCAGCTTCTCTCGCTATTTTGAAGCCGATAAGATATCGTAGTCTATCATGAATGTTCTATCTATCAAAAGCTGTTTTTGAAACCATTGTGGCAAACCTGTTTAATGGGTCCCGCGAAGGCTTATCGTTGACTACCTTTCTTCAGTTTTTTTGAACTCTCATATGTTAGTGAGTCCCATTTAGTTTTGGGCTGTCTTGACTTTGAATCAAGAACTACAATCACGCTTGAAATTTGAATCAAAAAATTATGATTTTCTATGCAAAGCGTCAACGTTTTTTAGGAAATGCCAGATAATTTCTGTCGAAAAGAAGACTATGCTACTGTGTATACGTATTTATTGAGAGATTAAGTGGATTTTCCAAACTCACCGTCACTTTTTGCAGGTACCAAAGATCAGTTTGCCCGCGACGATCCTGCGTTCCTTGTGCTTCTGTCGCTATCGTTATTGTTCTCTTCAGTCTTCTACGCAGTCGCTCTTGGACTTACCTTTTGGGGGTTCATTAAATTCTTCCTATGGGTGGTTTTTATAGACTGCATTGGTGTAGGAGTGATTGTTGCTACAATTCTGTGGTAGGTTGCGCTTGCAGTTTTCTTCTGAGTGTCAAAGTCGGAGCGCGAATATTTTTTAGGTGGTCATCAAATCGTTTTCTGCGAAAGGTCCAGGATCAAGATGTGGAATGGGGTTACTGTTTTGATGTTCATCTCAACGCCTTCTTTCCTATGCTCATTTTGTTGCACGTACTTCTTCCCATAATATATCCGAGTGAGTTATGGAAAACTGCAGGACTTCCTGAACTTATCTATTTATTGTCTATTTATTTATTATGTTTATTTATTTATGACATATTTATAAAGACTTTTTATGGAAGTTCAGTGCAATTTCACCTTTATAGCACTTGTTGACTCCCCTTCGTTCCTGCCCACTGCTCTTGGAAACACCATTTGGTTTATAGCAGCTGTTTATTATGTGTATATCACTTTTCTTGGGTACACAGGTATGCTACAGGTCAAAACCTCCAATAAGAAACTTCTTACATCTCATCTTACAATTGTGATCTATTTTAGCCTTGCCAATATTGCACAAAACACAATACTTCCTATATCCAATGACGTTCTTATTCATCTCATGGGTCGCAACGATCACTGCTGGTTGGAATATTTCTCAAAGTGCAATGGGCTTCTACCACTATAGAGTGCGCTCGGACGACGAGCTCAATCATCCCAAGTGAACAAGGGCATGTCGTTCATTGGTGCTTCAAAGGCCTGACTCTTTGAAAAAGCTTTTGCGACTTTGCCGTGTGAGAAAACTGCAGCATTCGGACGTTCTGTTTTTCTTCTGAGAAAGCCAAAAAGAATCTTTTCAAATGCTTTTGATTGTTTTACAGAGATTGCATCCTACATTCTTTGTTTCTGTTCATATCTAATCACTAATTCATGCATGGGTAAAAATAATATTATTTGCCGTACGCATAGATTGCATGTAAGTCAATAAATGTACATTTACTTGTCATTTGGCGAAATGTCATACTTGCAAGAAAATATTTATACTGCTAATAGTCTTCAATCCAGTTTACAACTTTTCACACTCTATGAATTTCACACATATCTCATCAAATTGTTCCAAAAATAATCTGACGTTTTTCTGAACAAGTGCCACATTCTGTGGGAGAAAAATTTACGAAATTTATTGGTATGATTCGCACTTATGTTGCAGTTTAACCAACGAACCCTCAGAAAATCACCCAAAGCTATAGCCCAGGATTTTTGCAATGGTCAAGTTTCGCAATTTTTTACAATTTTTACTCTGATTTCCCGAAGAAATCAAAACAATGAGTGAATAGAGCAAATGTCAAACAATTTTCTCAGCCAGCTTTTCAAATGTCTTGTAAATTGTTTTTTTTAACACACATAGAATTTCAACCGGCAGGCAGCTTGGATGTCATTCGATGCAGCACAGTTTCTGAATTGCAAAGTTGGGAGTAAAACAAATAATTCATGTTTTTGAGCGCTCCAGGCTGTGCCGAGAAATGGCCTGCTAAAATTTGATAGTTTTGATAAAAACGTCAAAAATATGGCGGGCTGTAGGAAGGGAAATTACATTCACTGATTTGTATCTTGTAGTTTGTTCTATCCATATGTTGCTTAAACTTCTTCGAATAGTCGGTACATTGATTAAAGAACTTGGCCATGGCAAAAACCTAGGCGTAGTTTTTGGTAATTTTCTAAGAACAGTTAATTGCAATAAATTGCAATCATTTGACAGGGCATATTGCATGAATGGTACCAAATCCCATAATTTTCTGTGGAATGTGGCGCTTGCTCGGAGAAAAAAGGGGAAAACTTTTGGAACGATCTAATTTATGTGCAGAGATCATTTCTGACAGATCAAGAAAATATTATCTCAAAATCTTTTTTCATTCTATTTACAGTTCCCACTGTCTATCATACATATTTGGTACGTCCAGGTTTGGAGCCAAAAGTAGGAGAAGTACCGTGGTAATACCATTTAGAAACAGAATCATTGTGAAGAATAATCGATCGAAGATATTAGCCAGTTGCGACCAACGAGCAACTAGTTTTTCCAACTCTTGTTCCTCTCCAACATTATCGTCCTGAACAAGAGAGTAAGTTCTAGATACAGATAAAAAGAAGAAAGGAAACTCACGACTTCTTTGCTGAGTAAATCCTCACTGGGCAAATCGAGCCTTACGGTGCCATTGTTCATTCTTTTGGAGCTCTGCCTTCGCTTCTTCGTGGATCCGCTGCCGAAAACGGGTGCTAGGATATCAAAGCCAAGCACCTCGAGCCATTGTGGAATCCTGAATATGCTTAGTTGATTTTTGCTATAAAATCAATGATATTTGAGGATAAAGTGCGAAGCGCTTAAGGATCTTGTGTTTTGTAATCTACCCTTTGCTTCAATCAGATGGTGGCTGGCAGGCGGGGCTCCGTGATAGCTGAGGCTAGGAAATGATCAGAGAGCATGTTGGCGAGGGAGGCGCAGACGGCGTTGCGGACGCCTGCAGTCGCCTGCTAGACCACGAAGCTCCGCTCTCCAGCAGCCAATCTGGTTGAAGCATAGGGTACGCACAAGGTCTTGAGGCCATCTACGCCTATTTTTTACGACATTTTTCGATGAGGACTGCAGACTTCTGCAGGAAACAGCTCAGCTGTCTTAAAGGCAGCGTCCTGGCAGATACGAAAATGAGGGTACAGGGGGCCCGTCCTGGTAAGATTCTTGCCCAACTGGCAATGCAACAATTTGCTTCTGAAGCGAGAAATCCGCTTCAGAAGTGGCGAGCGGAACGCCCCGGCGACCGGGACGAGTTGATAGGCCAGAGTGCGCATACCGCACACAGTTAGTACGTAGGGTCCCACAAAGACTCTGCGTCTTAACCTTGGTGGCAGGCGACAATATTCAAAGTAAGAGCTTGTGGAAAAGCCCGTTTTCGGAGTTTTCTGCCCTCCAAGCTGCTTTCAGAATCAATAGGAAGAATAAGCCCAGATAAGCGAAAAAAATTCTATTCGATTTGCCCGGACGCTGCCTTTAAGTTCGCTATACAAGTCCGTGTTCTTATCTCCTGAAAAATCTGGAGGAAAATCTCAAGATTAAGTAAGCAATGTAGATCATTTATTTTCGATTATCACATCTACCAAAGTTTTGAGAAAATAATATAAGAAGCATACTTTTACTTGTATTTCATCATAACATCATTCAACTGCGAATCAAGAGAATATGCTGGCGTGAAACAGCACTTCTGATGTGAGATGGAAACATGATAATTCGTTACAAGAAAGAGAGATCATGGATTTTGTTTCTAGAGAGAGAATGAAAGGGTGTAAAGATCCGTTTTTTTTTTGATACATGCACAAATAAAGTCATCCGAAAAATATAACATATTCTTCCTGTGGTGTTTGCCTAGTCGGTGGTTGATCCAATCGAGAATGCTTTCGCCGAGGTACGGCCTCAGAGTTATTCTCAGCAAACTTCTCATCTACTATGAATATGAACAGAGCATCCATCAATAGTTCTTTACGAGTGCTTCTTCTGTTCCGGAACTTCTTCAACTTCAACCTAAAATATCAGATAGATAATCAAGTGGCTTTTTATAACTTCGACAATTTCGATTTGACTTCATAGAAAGTTGACATCTTCTCATATTATCAATTACTTCAGGATCTTCAGCTACCGTTAGTATCTCAATCAGTAGGTGCATATATGTATCAGGCACTGGCGGACCGAGAAGGGGAGGGGGCGTCCGCTCCGAGAATGGGTCGCCAAATTTTTGAACGGATAGATTAATGGTAGGCAACTGCTCTGCACTGTATTATACGCAATTTTTCTTCCCCTTTCGGCATTTATACCACTGGGCCAATTCCTCCTCATGATTGCTGAGAGATTGCCAAAAAATTTGTACACATCGTCTTTGTCTAGCATAATCTGGTCCTATGAATTTTCATCAAAATTTTGAGTAAACATTGATTACATAAAAATAAACAAGTTTGTTTATTGCAAATCTTTCAGAGTGTTCCATAGTCTATCGAGTCTTTTGAAATGATCTTTCCGCTTTGAAAGTTGTTTACTGTCAAACCTTGATTTTACAAAAAGCGTCTCTCCCCTTGAAATAGTATAATTACTTCTTTTTAGAGAGGGATATCCACGACTATAGAATTTGAACTGCAGAGCTTCGTATTCAAAACTTCTGCGATTATTTCAACAGTCATGGAAAGATTTGGTTGAAAATTAAGGTTTTTGGAAATAGAAAGAAAATTGACACAAAAAATGCAAGTTGATATAGTTTAGAGAATTTGCATGCCGATATTCTATCTCATAGGATAAAAAGAAGATGTAAAGTTCACACAACTTTTGATCCATTTTAGTATATTACGGTAGCGCTTTTGGTCAGGATATCAGTCTAAGTAAAAATGACTTAGTTCATAATTACTGAATTAATTTTACCCTTATATCCTTTAAACACCTGCGCTTGCCCAAGCAAACCTATAAGAAACTGAAAAGTCATGCTCATTGTAGGAGGTGCTCATAACTATCTTCTCCAGAAAATCTGTGGAGTCCATGGTGCATTTTAAGAGTGAGCGACTACTCTATGAAACAAATTGACTATTACTACCTCAATAACTTAAATAGAAATGATTGCCTACGATTTAACTATAAAAAGCAGCAGTTAAAGATTGGCATTGGGTAGGGGTGAGAAGGAACAAAACCTACTCCCTTTCCTTTGCTACTAGCCGATTGCCTTGTGACTACAATACTCGGACCTGAAAATAATGGAAATTAAAGTGAAATGAAAGAAAGGATAGCATAAAACATCGGTTAACAGACAATACAACTAGACCAAACTGAACATTTTTTCGAAAACACGTACATAGCAAAAAACATACATGGAAGCAATCTATTGCAACAAAAGATGAAAGAGAAAAGAAAAAAAATGAAAGAGAAACTGCAGCTAATGCGCTACTTTTGGGCTTAGGGAGAAGTATCGGATGGGTCGAATAATTTTTGGAAGTACTCAATTAGAACTGTAAATGTGACTTTCTCTTCTTGTATGTTTCGTAAATTTGAGAAATTTTGTATCTAACAGCCAAAATCGGCTCCAAAAAGATGGCGTGGCTAGCGCCTGTCTGCATTTTGAGAAAACCGCCTCTTCTCACCTCAAATAAAAAAAAGTCTGGGACAGTACTGATACTTCATCCATCTGTAAATATTGTATCTGAGGACGATCGGTAAAATAAGGGTGCTGCGGATGCAATGCGTTTTTGGTATTCCTTGAACTTTCATTTCTTCCGACACCACTTCGGCGGAAGTTCCTTTCTTTCGCATTTTTACAACTCTGCGAAACTCTGCCAAATTTTTAGTTGTATTCAAGATCCGTTGATGAATTCGGTAATTACTACTTGCCAAGTCCCTTTGCAATCGTACCCTTGTATAGAAAAATTTTATACCACAAACCTGTCCGAATAATCTGCACCATGTCGAAGATTCAGGACAAATACCGAGAAACTGACTGACAAGGCTGAGATGCCCATTATAGCCATGAGATAGATGGCTGAAAGCGAAAATCAATTTGAAATCTGTGAATATATTCACTGTGGATCACAACTTACCTATCAAGGGAATAACCTCGGATGTTTCTGGCATACTTTCAGCAATATTGAAGCTGAAGACTGAGTAGGCAAGCAGTACCGTGAGACCAAGTGTTACCTTCTCCCCGCATTCGGACGGTAGCAGAAATTGCGTCACAGTCAGAATCTGAGTGATTCTAATGTTTCGCAGACTATGCTGAATGGCCAAGAAGAGAAAGAGAAAAGAAATGATCATGACAGTCAGGGAGAAATACAAAGTGAAAGGATAAGTAAAAAGGGCAAGGGATGTGAAAAGGAAAAAAGAAAGGGACCAGGAAAAAAGGGCGAGAGAGAGAAAATAGGGCTAACATAAACTTACTGATAGCATCACACATGGCGCAATAATGTTGTACATGAAGAAGAGAGTTCTGCGACGAAGATGAAGTTCAAATACTACGGTAGCATATCTGGAAATAATAACAATAAACTTTTCTTCAAATCAATGGCTCTGTCAAGTTAGGCACTACTTTGGAATTAGTAGAATGGGAGATGTCTTGTAAAATTTTTGAAGCTAAACAAAAATTTGGCATTTCATAGAATCGAGTCAAAATAATTTGATTACCAAAGAATGAAAGTGAGAAAGACTCCTTTCGATTATTTGGTGTATCTCAAAAAGTTTACCGTGAAGCGTGAAACTTCTGCAATTTCTTGGTCTTGTCTGGAGAGAAGTGTAAGGTTTTTTGGAAAGCTGAAGATTGTTGACGGTTCCAGAAGAGCTTTTTTAAAGGAAAAGGAAGAATCAAACATTTGAAAGATGAAAGGGCATGAACTTGACTTTTCATGAATTCTTTTGGATGCTTCCTATTTTTCAGTAAAAAAAATTATAGTTAAACTGAAAATTATAATTAAGCTGACTAATTCTACGGTGCCGTAACACATACTCAGCATCTTCACTGTGTTGCTGATATTTGAATGTACGGTTGTCGACAATTTCCCATTCTCCATTCTCTGTGAACGAATCTCTCGTGAATGGTGATTTTCCGTCATATCGCGTAACCATAGTCAAGTCCAACTGAGAAGTGTCGTAAATCCCTGAAGCAGTATTACTGTACTTATGCGATTCAAGAAGTAGATGGACCCACATGAGCGGAATATCAGGGAGCAGAACTGATGGTCGAATGGGAACTTTGTCACATCCATGTGACACCGACTGTAGATCTTCTGTGGAGGAGCCCATTGTACTGAAATTTGACCCTATGTTGAGTCGGTCCAGAAAGTTCGTATCCATTTTTAGACTTATCCAGGCAACAAACAGTAGTTGATGCAGAAAATCTTCCTCTTTTTAGAAGTTTTTTTGCTTTTCATTGACGGTTGCTTGTATAATCGTCACTCTCCAACCCATGATTCTAAACTAACCCTATTCTGACATTTCTTTTGCATTCTCAAATTTTGGAAGAGCTTTGTCACTATGGATAGAGTGAACAAAACACAAGACAATAAATTTTCAAGCTTCTTCGACTGGTCCCCAATTATTTTTCAAAGAAATTTCTTCAGAAATCTTCACTTTTGCGAAGTCAAAGAGAACAAAGGCTTCAAATACTAATAAACCTTCGGAATTTGAAACTTTTATAAGTCGATAATGAATAAACATTAATCAAACAAAGCAAGTGAGTATTGTTTTACCGCTTCGGAATATTAAATTTCATTACCGAGCACATCGGGGAGCGTTTAGAAATCAAATTATGGTGATTTTACCCTCAGCCCTCACGAATCAGGGAGAAAAAACGTTCACCAGATAGAGGAGAAGAATCTGCAAACAATTTTGAATGACATCTTAATTGCTCGCTGCTTAATGTTCTATGAGGTTTCGGACGACCAAATATGGAATTTGGTGGTGTCAAAAAAATAATTTTGAAGTTTTAAAAAGCCAGCTACGAATGTCAAAAAAATTTGTCTTGCATTTTGTTTACTCTGTCTAAAAGTGATTAGAGGTACTCCCGTTAGAAATGAAAACTATAAAAAAGAGCTGAAATAAGGATATTTGGAAATCAGAATCAGGGGGAAGATTCTGGCGATTATTGAGCGAACATACAAGGAATTGCAACAGAAACACTGTTGCTAGAAATGGGAGAAATTTGGATTGAGCTGGTCCAGAACGTTGGTCTATCTTCATTTCCAACGGGTCTAGGATAGGACCCCACGGCACGAATTCTTGGAGCGGTCTAATATTCAAACTTATGATTCAGTCTGGCTAAAGTTCTGAAAATGGTTCCGGGAATTTTTGGGTGTAATGGCGTGATGATTAGAAAATTTGATTGTCACTAAATGATACGGTCAGACTGCCATTACTAGACGCAAATGTTGAGAACTCTTTATTAATTCACCCAATGAAACGGTATTCATTACCCTGCTCCTAACGCAGAGGATTGTACAAATAATTGGGATAGAAAATTTGGCACAGAACTACCCTATTCTTCACGTAATATTTTCCATAAAGTTCCAGCAATATGAATTTTGGGATATGAGCCCGCAAACTTGCAATTGTACCTTTGATGAACAATTTGCTTCTTGATAATTGAAAAAAAAAACTTACCTTCCCCGTCGTAGTTGACGTGAAGATTGGTAGCAACGAATCCTCGTGAGAAATCTCGTGCACTGAAACAAATAGGGTAGGAAAAAGAGCTCTCAAGAGATCTTGACGTTTTTAACTTATATCATGGTCTCAAGCCTTTGAAATGGTTTGGCAGTTGAATGAGGGAAATAGAAAGAGCTTAATCTTCTTGTGTAAATGAATATTCTGCGATAGTGATTAGCGAGTAACAAAATTTGGTGATACATTAACAATATGTACCGCTCGTATTTTTTTAAAAAAACGACGCGCAGTCGCCCGACTCAAGTGACATCGCCATATCTCGCTTCACAGTGGGCGAATTCTTAATCCAATTCTTAATTCAATTCAACTCAGCTCGGCGCGACGCATCTTCTGATGTACAGAAATGCCCGCTTGGACGCAATAGGAGGTCAGATATACTACGTTCGTTTCAGGTTTTTGTTTACGGTAGGTTGCCCAGTAAGTGCAGTGAATAAGCACGACCTACCGTAAGCAATCTGAAACGATTCTTGGAACTTGACTTTCTACTGGCACTTCGACACATATAGAAGATGTAGAGCCCGAGCTGAATAAAGTGCACTTGGATTGAGAATTCGTCCATTCTGAATCGAGATATGGCCACAGTACAGTGATGTCACATGAATCGGGCGACCGCGCTCTTTTTTTTTCAAAAAATACAAGCGGTATACCATAATAGCATGAAATGAATGCTTTTTCAACGAATCATTTCTCATGAGTGCATCTACAGCGAGTCCTTGGGATCAAGGAATCACACCTTTATTTAATTCATTACACTTCTTCCTTATCATGATAACTTACTTATTGTAAAGAACGATGTCGGGGGTCCAAACATAGGTTGTAGCGAGTGTGAGCTTGGAAAGATTTCCAAATTCGCTTGGTTCCCATCTGATTCGCTCATCATGCCACGATTGCTCGACCCATGCGTTGAGCGCAAGAACTTGACTTCGCTCATCCTGCACAAAATCTTCAAAAACCATTCGAAGATAGTTAGCCGAATTGGGGTAGTAGCAGTAGATAAAGATACTATCAGCGAGGCTTTAAAAGCCATTGACCAAGCGGCGGCTCATACATCTAAGCTTTCGCCCAGTATACCATACTGAAACACGTAAAACACGGTTCCCGCGTACGTTACTGGGCGAGAATTTAGTGTGAGTTTTCTCTATAGCGAATGAATCATATGGGCTGCAGCTTGAACAGCTGCTCATTTTTAGGCCTTCCTATCAGTTTCCATACACAAATCCGGGTAAGCACTATTAGCCTTGAACATGCTATAGATCCACTTACAATATTGAAAATGTGCGTCAGTGTCAGCCCGATATAGACGTTGACGGTCTTACTGGCATTGTACACAGGTCGTACAGCTTTATCATAGTCTTTCAGTATGTGCCTGCAAGGATTAAGGTTTACCTTTACTTTAACTTTAACCTTCTTCTAACTCACTTGAACAACCTCTGCTCGTCATTTATGCCAGGCTTGGCGTAGTATTCAGTCATATTCTGCTCTGCAGATGAAGCTGTTTCCGCTGAAACTTATTGTTGAAAGGTGTTATCAGAAAATGAGACAAGCTAGAAACTTACGATTTATGATCTGAGAGCTGCCCTGGCCAACAGTAATGAGCAGCAATGGCAGTATCATATTTTTGGACTCTGAATATTTGGGCAGTCTGTAAAGAAACCCTCACTTGTACTTATTCCAGCAAAAAAAAGAATGATAAACCATATGAGCAGAATTTAAGCGATTATAGAAAAATGTGTCATATGCCCGAATATGAGTCAATATACCTAAAAGACCAAAAATCCTTTATTGGGTAGAATTTATGTAATAAAATCCAAGACTGTTGCAAGAGTGTGACATGTGTGAAGCAGAAGTAATTATTAGTTTCAATCGAAACCTTCACTATCCTAAATTTTTTAGATATTCCGCACAAAAATCCCCAAGATTAGATTTTGATTTAATTATTTAGCTATTTTCGTAAACCTACATACAAGGGAATAGAGCTTGACAATGGTCGAAATATCTTGACGCCCCTTTTCGTTTAATCGCACAGAAACGGCTAAAGAAAAAAGGTTCATTTCAGCAATTGCAAAGTGCTGATGAAGCAAAACAAAAATGCATAGATAGTTGGCCAACAGCTTTTACATCTTGAAAAGAGCTCTTCAACAGCTTTCATGATATCCAAAAGCTGACTTCTTGCAATAATATAGAGTGCGCGATTTTTAAAGTAAACGAATTCAGCTCTCGAAAAAAAATTTGTACAAGATTTGTAAGTTGATTTCCGCAAAATTGTATGATTCCAGGATAGACATTGGCATTGTCGCGCCCATAAAAAATTATAAGATAGATGAGAGATTAGAAATTGCTCAACGATACATTTTCAAATTTGATGTAGAACCAATACATCTTCAAACTTCGACGGAAAATATTTCAGTGTTCGTGGAAAAAATAAATCATACAATTCTCTAAGCAAAGTTATTACAACGATTTTCAAGAATCCACCAACTTTTTATTGCAGGTCCAGCTGAAGTAATAGAGATGGTGAATCTTTATGGTTGTTTGATCCTCAGGTTCGATCCGCTACGGATTGAAGACCTTCTATTCATAGATAGGTTTATTTCTGCAGTGTAATTCTTAAAGGCAGTGGATCGGCAGAATGGACCCTTATCAAATTTTGGTGGATTTAAGTAGTAGACCCCCCAAGTACACTGTGCCCAAACCCCGCCTGTCAAATCATGCGCTAGGTCCTAAAAAATGCGCTTCAAAACTCCACCAGCCCCGCCCATTTCCATTGAGTAGGCGGGGTGGTCGAGTTTTTCAGCGTTTTTTCAGGAATTAGCGCATGAATTGGCAGGTGGGATTTGGGCTACAGCGTACTTGGGGGGTCTACTCCTAAATCCACCAAAATCCGAGAAGGATCCATTTTGCCGAACCACTGCCTTTAAAAAACTTCTTACAGTGACCAGCTGATTCAACCACAGAAGAGAGCTCAGGGACTCGCACCGTGCGGGCGGCCAGCGACGAACTTACAATCGCTCGTTGGTGTGTGCGATTGTACGGTCGTCAAGGGCCGTTAGCACGGTTAACGTGGGGCGCCCGCACGGTTTCTAATGCTCGCCGCTTGCGCGGGGAAGGTCGGCCGCTCGCTTGCTGTTGGAGTAGGTTTATATGGGGTATTTTAACCATTTTTCTTAGGTATGTTAAGCATTTTCACATCCTGGGAACACGGACCAATGCCTGCCGCACTACCCAAACTTTCCATGGAGAGGCCCACACCATCACTCTTGATAACTGTAGCCTTACACAGTTTCATTCCAGCTTTGCGGTGAAGGGAAATGTTGATAACACGATAGTCGACGCTTAGCCAGCCTAAACGCTGCGTCGTATCTCATGCAGGTACCGTTTACGCTCACAGTGTGTGAAAATAATGAGCCGAAGGTAGAGGTCACTGTTGGCCGCTTGCACGGGCAAATGTTTGCCGCCCGATCGAACGGACACATTGCCTGCCGCTTGCACGGTCGATTTTATTGCGTACCGATTGCGCGGCGAAATTGCCTGCCGCTTGTACGATCAAGTGATTGCTGGCCGATCGTGCGGACGCATTGCCTGCCGCTTGCACGGTCGATTTTATTGCGTACCGATCGAACGGGCAGACTGTCTTCCGCTTGCACGGCATTTTTATTGTTGACCGCACGCACGGTACATCAAAAACTATGCAGTGCGCTCAGGCGGAGGAGCTTTAATGAGGACCGCCCGCACGGCGCGAATCCCTGAGAGGTTACCCGAAAAGTGTCAGAAAATGCTTTGATATATGTGCACAACCTCCTCAAATTGGGCTATTTAAACTCCCTTATCAGTCACGAGTTGAAAAGAATTTTGGGCACTAATTGGGGTCTCGCAAATCTATTCGGTCAAAATTGCAGACATTACGAAACATGACGGGAATGAGACGTGCGAGTACCAAGGTTAATTGAGAATTTCACTACTTTGGTTAGTTTAGGCGAAAGACAATTGTTACCAGAACTTATGTGAATAAAAAACGTAGCAGAACTTCCTTAAATTTGTGTGGCACCATGAGGGTTACGCATCAGTTTCCATAGGAAAAGTCTGACTTCATAAACTTTCTTGTAAGCCACGCAGGTTTGTTAAGATATTTATTAGGTCTAACGTTTCGGCAATAATGCCTTCCTCAGAGACCTGAAAGAAAGTCTCACACTAGTTTTTTGCCTTATATGATCAAATCTCTCCTCTTGACAAGCCTAGTTCGACGGCCCAGGAGCAAACAAGCGGAGACATTACACGACAAGTAGCATACCAGAATCTCCACCGACAGCGCAACGACGACGTTGAAACTTCACTAGTATTAAAAGACTATAGCTGACCGATATGGACAGCTTAAATAGTGGTGGAGACGATATCTATAAGTGACAGTATGACAGAAATGGCATCAAGTCACTCGTGATGGAGAGCTGTTCATTCTTCCCGTTAAGTTTCGGTTCGCGCGAGAGAATGTATGCCGCTTCAAGCGCTTTGCGAGCAGCAATTCTTGACTCATAACCTAAGATGATGCACCTGATATCGAAGTCGTTGCCGTGATGATCTACTTTCCTGTGTTTCCCTAGCGGACTGGCCATGCTTTCCCGCCTCTTACTCGCCAAGTGTTCATTGACACGCACGCTGAGTTGCCGACCAGTTTCCCCTATGTAGGTAGCGTGGCATGCCAGACATTCAATCTCGTAGACGATGCCAAACTTAGCACAGTCTCCCATTTTCCCGCTAGGGCAAATGACGCAATATTTCGTAATACAAGCTTTGTCGTATAAACGATTACGCACTAGTTGTCGCTTAATGTTGCTTCGAGGGATATTCACGAGAACAACATCTTGCTCCAACTGAGCTTGTACTATACATGTTTGAAACGCGTGCTTTACTCTATCGGAAATAAATGGTAAACATAATGGAATTCTGGCACCAGCTTGGCGATCTTCAACATTTGCTGTAAACGTTCTAGAATGTCTGGGTTTTGATGAGGAGTAGCCATTAGAGGCTGCTATCTCATTTGCCAGCTCGAGGGACTCCTGTCGTTCACTCTCCCCATTGCAGACTTCGACTGCCGTTCTATACATGTTCCGCAATACTGCTCGCTTAACGGCGACCGGATGGGCCGATTTCGCGTGTAAGATGATGTTCTTGGAGCTCTCTTTGCGATACCATTTCACTCGTATCGTACCGTTATTTAGCATTAGCTGGTGTTCAGATACGGGAGCCAACCGTTTCGGGGTGCTTCTCTGGTAAAACTTATGTACTCTGATTGTTGATTCAAAATCTTGAAACACTCGTCCATTTCGGACTGTGTTAATGTTATAATGCAACAATCGTCAATATATCGACAGTATAGGAGCCTGCAGGATCGCGAGAGTCGGACGTGCGTACGGCCATTGCGCCGCGCACGTCAGATGCGCGTCCGACGATCGGGTAGGTGCCAGACTTATCCTGTTGAACAGGTTCATTCGGTTTACCACCTTTTCTGTTGGACAGTGTAGTGATTTGACCTATGAACCGAACGCGAACCGGCTGAAGCGGATAAGTCTGGCACCTGCCTTCGTGACATCAGACGTGCGCGGCGCAATGGCCGTACGCACGTCCGACTCTCGCGATCCTGCAGGCCCCTATACATAAGTGGGCATCGTAATAGCACCGGTCTTTCTATTCTGCTCATGAAACAGATGGCAAGCGTAGGTGCTAACCTTTGGCCCATTGCCAACCCTCTCAACTGTGAATAGTAAGTGCCTGACCATTTGAAAATATTGCAGTTGAGACATTCCTTGATCAGAGTCATTATACGCGCCTTACTGAGCCCATACGTCGAGATGGTATTACCATGTGCATCAAACAGCTCAGAAAGCGCTTGTAAAGCGTCACCGTTTGATACGTTGGTGTAGAGTGACGTTGCATCAAATGACTCTATCACACAGCCATGATGGAATTGAGCACGATGTAATCGATCACGGAAATGCTTGGTATTCGTCAAATGGGCCGGTACTTTGTTGAGAAATTGGGTGACAATTTTACTTAAGAACCATGATATCCTATCGGTTGGTCCATTGATACAGCTAATGATCGGTCGGATTTTGTAGACCGAGGCCGACATAGAGCTCATGTCACGCGCAGAGAGCTTATGCGTCTTAAGAAGGCTGTAAAATACGGGACAGCATGGGCTATCAAGTTTGAGTCTGCTGAGAAACTTTTCGTTCAGGCCAGCTTCTTTACCAAGCATCATCCACACGTGATTTAAGCGCTTGCACTGAGAAAGAAATTCTTTCTCATTTGTGCGGCGATAAATGCTTTCGTCTGAAAGATGGAGCTCGGTGATCTCACGGTCAAGTTGTTGGAACATAACGACGAACTCTCCACCTTTATCGCTAGTAGAGAGGCGAATGATCCCACTTTCAATCAATCCTCGTAACTCTTTGAATCCAAGCCACTGCGTTCGAGTCAAATTGGTTTGTTTGGTGTTCCTATTCTTGTTCAAGACATTCAATATGCCTGAACAAAGAATCCGAAATTTGACATCCGCGGTGTGGCAGGGTTCAGGCTCTTTGTAGAAGGATGATGGAAAGGGGATTGGCGGTAATAACCTT